GGGGGCGATGTCGACGAAGAACATTGTTATATGAATATATCCGAGTGGAACGAAGATTTGGGTTGACGGCTTGCGACACATCCATAAAACCATTTGTTGGCAATTGTTTGCAACATTAGACGAAGGTGTGAGTTCTATAACAATTACGCCTCGTCGCAGGCTTTGATGTGCGCCGCAGTTCAGACAAAAAGAACAAGTACAACATTATCTTAAGGAAGAAACTGGTTTGTTCACGTGAAGGTTACAAAGCGGGGAAAAAATCGGATCCACCAGAAACGGTAATTGGAAAAAGACCAAACGTCGTAAGCCATCTAACGAGTCCGGTGCATGGCAAAGATTGTGTTCAAAATAGACGGTGCGGGAGGTATTTAGTCACGACATTCGAAGAGGGGCACGCACACTGTTTGTGCAATGATAGCTATAAACCGTTCTTGAAAGTAAATAGGAAATTGGATGTTGGTCACCAACAGTTCATAACAAATTGCGCAAAGGTGAATGTGGGCTCGAGCAAAAGCTTTGAAATATACGCAGAGGTTGTGGGTGGAACAGAAAACGTTGGAGCAACACAACAAGATTTCAAAAATTACCGACGGGAAGTCTTGGCATACATGCACGGAGGAGACTGCCAAATGGTAATATCCAAATACCTGGATATCAAGGCTGACTACCCTGACATGTACTTCGAGTACGAAGCAAACCATAACGACCAATTGATACGGATTTTTTGGTCGGATGGTGTGGCGCGGAAACATTACAGTGCGTTTAGAGATGTTGTGTCCTTCGATGCGACGTACAAGACTAACCGGTAAGAAATTCTGAACCTTGTATAACTTTTTCTATATGCGGACACCAGAAATATGCGAATTAATGTTACTGTGTGTGTGTGTATATATTTGACCCTCGATATTTAATAGCACTGATGATAGCGTACTAATCACAGAGTGTGTGCGTTTTTGCTGATACCCATTGATATCAGAAATTAATTCAGAAAGCTATATTTTCTTCATGTGCGCCACTGTAAAAATGTGTGTATGTGTGTAGTGTCCGATAGTATAATTAAATGTTCAGCAGTGGTGGGTGCATAATGTTGTACAAGTTTGTGCATTCTCCTTAACATGTTTTACAAATACCATGATACCGAGTCACGCTAACTTTTATATTGAAATAAACTAACACCATGATGTCCCATGTACGGCCTCGTGTTTGTCCCATTTACCGGGATCGACAACCATAAGAAATGCGTGACATTTGGAGCAGCCCTGATTGATCGGGAGGACGTGGACTCGTACATTTGGGTATTAAAGAACTTCAAAAACGCAATGGGCAGCCCCCCGCAATCACTGTAATTGATCAAGATCCGGCGATGAAAGTTGCAATTGCACAGGAATTCCCTGAAACGCGTCATCGGTACTGCATGTGGCATATAATGACAAAGGTGGGTGATAAAGTGGGCACTGACCTAGCGAGGAACGAAGAGTTTAGACGGGAGCTAAATACTGTAGTATGGAACGACGCCTCAACTACTGCAAATTTCGAGCATGCATGGAAAGCTGTAATGGAAAAATATGCCATAACTGAAAATTCGTGGCTGAAACATATGTATGATGAGCGTGCGTCATGGGTTCCTGCGTGTTTTGAAGGAGTTTTTATGGGCGGATTACTACGTACTACATCCCGGTCCGAGGCTGAGAATAGAATTTTCAGAAGCAATACTAACAAGCACCTTTGCCTTACAGAATTCTTCATCCGATTTGAGAGTACAGTGCGAAAGCAACGGATCACGCACGCACATCTTAGTGGTGCCAGCAACGCACAGACTCCCCTTTCAAAACACCACTGGGAATTGAACGACATGCATCCGAACTGTACACACTAACAGTTTTTTATGATGTCCAGGAGGAAATTATTGCAGGTTGTTTTGAATGCCGGGTAAGAGCAGTGACAATCGGTGACGGCATCAAGACTTATGAGGTGGATGATAAGCGCGGGACACAGTACGGTTTGACCGTTGAGGATGTGACAATGATTACGCACTGCCCCTGCCGAATGTATACAAGGATTGGTCTATTGTGTCGACACGCTTTTGCAGTGCTAATATACGAGAGGGTTGATACCATACCGCCGCAACAGATCACCCCGCGATGGACACGCAACGCAATAACAGAATATGAAGATGAACTGAGGAAGTATGGATATGGAGGGGCCACAACGGTAATGAAGCATCAGATGTAATAAACACGTTCTACAGGTGTTTGGGGATTGCCAAGGGGACAGTTTAAAATTGCAACAAATGTGTTCTGTTCTATCGGATATGGAGACAACTTGGTGCGGGCACGAAGAAGTCCAAGTGGATGCAGCTAGTGGGAAACAAGCGATCATGGAGTCTTACTGTGGCGTACCCGCACCTGAGACGATTACTGTGCACCAACCACCGGTGACAAGCAACAAAGGGTCGGGTAAACGGATGAGGTCTGCTAAAGAGCTGGCAATGAAGGAGCAAAACAGGAAGAAGCGCACGTGCAAAACTTGTGGCATGGCAGATGGGCATAACAGTAGAAGCTGCCCGCAGAAGTAGACGTGTTATTAGCTATAGCATGCAATTCTGGAAGTTTTTTGTGAGATCGTTTATTCTGAAACTCGTGCACCTTTTTGTATGTTTTTATCCAGCATTCCCATTTTTTGAGGAAAATGTTACCAGGGAAGCTTTTATAATATGCATATCTTGTTTGACCAAGTCTGTAGGCATTAAGCTTTTTTCCCAGCATTCCCATTTTATAGTTGGCAGTTCCGTATTTCCCATCTGGATTTACCTGATTAGGACTTAGAAGTTGTGATGTGCTGACTTTTTTTAATGCCTGATTTTTTATGATGTAGTAAAACAAATGTATAACACAAATGTCTGGACTGCTCCGCTACCAAATATGCGTTAGTACGCATAGATTGCATGTATGGAATGCGTTGTAGTCGATAGGTACGTGCTTATATGCGTAACGAAAATGTCATGTGCGAAGGAAGTATAAATTGGCTGCGTAATACGGTTATGATTGTTGACAGCATATTAGTCATATGATTGGGTGGCAGATTTAGTACAAACAAATTGTGCGTTTGTTTCAAGCAGTCGATGCACCGTTAAATTAATCTTTTCTTTGGTGCATTAACGTAGTTAGTGCGTTTATATGTATGAAATGTCGTTGGTCTACTATGCACTGATCAAATCACAAAAATAATGTAATGGAAATACGTATAATATTTGTAATGGAAATCTGGTCTATTCCAAATCATAACAGAAATACCAAAACAATACATAAAGTTGCTAGTAACATAAGATTGACTATGCACTTGCCAGTAAATGCAATAAACTTATCTAACCTAATGCAATTGATCTGGACTGCCGAGTACCGTAATATGAAAATGCACATGATATGCACTTGCTAAGAATGCAATAAAAATATAATACAAGGCAACTCGCACAGACACTAACATTTAAACGCACAAACGACGCAATAAAAATATAGTAACATATATATGATACGCACTAACATAAGTTAAAGTAACCTTTTATCTAGCAAATGCACTAACATTGAAGCTGATACGCACTTATCCATTAATATGCACTGACATAAAATTATGCATTTTACTATATACGCATCGTAATATGAAAATGCACATGCTATTTAATATGCTACTGCACATAGCTCGTATTCGCACATACTATATAGTAAAATGCAGACACAATGTATATGTATGCACATACGCATAACAGAAATACCAAAACAGAAATCTGGTCTATTCCAAATCCTAACAGAAATACCAAAACAATACATAAAGTTAGAGATGTAATAATAAACGCAATGTATATAATAGAGGTGTTCAACGAGACGGAACAATTGATCTCATGGCGGAGTTGAAATTCGTTCGACGATGGGTGTTGTTCTGAAACAGAAGGATTTCGGACATATAGCGTTTGCGTAAAGCAAGCAATGCACGTGCGTCACCCCCGCAAAGACCACAATCCCATGACGCATAGGGCTGTCCAGCATAAGACTCCATGTGTCGCATCGCGAACACACCGCAATCTACTTTGTTCTTCGCATCGCGACATGATAGGCGAACCCTACGAGGTATGAACGTAGTGACCTTCATAAACTGATCTGTGGCCTCCACATCCTCCAGGAAAACGGTAAAAAACTCATGCTACACAAATGACATTGTGTTAATAAATAATACATGTGTCTACACACTGGTGGTTTTGACTAGACATGTGTATATTAAATGTACAATTAGAACCAAATTGTTAATCAAGCATACCAGCAGGTCAGGTATGTGAAGATATTTGTCTAGTGAGAGGCCACCAACAGAAGAGTTATCTAACACATCGAAACGCATGCGTCTAAAATCCACTACAATAACGTAGTAGTGACCAGCTTGAAGTATTGGAAATATGAACTGCAACGCAAGAAAGTTAATCACAACCGAATGTGGTTAAAAACAAGGACAAAAAATAAACACTAACCAGATCAATGTCGCCCCAGGAGTTAAACGGAGACGTGTTCAACTCCTCGACCATGCAATCCGTAAACCACTGCAGACGCCGACCACGTGGTGCAGAAACATTTACAACTGTGTTCAACTGATTCATGCGAATACAACCTAAGTCAACACCACTAACCAAGACATAACAAAACCTGAACTAAAAAACAATAGTCCGTTAACTCACCGTAGTCGTAAGCGACACCAATAGCCTCGAGGGTGACCCACGAGGCCTCAATATCTCCTTAAAATTCAACACACATGCCCAGGCATTTATTATGCCCACAAGCACTTCCTGACCTTCAAGCAGTGAACGAAATTCTTCCCTCCGTGCAGATCGGCCACTAAATAGAAACAGCTCCTCATCCCTGTCAATGAACAGGCACGGGCGGTTAGAACCCACTAAAGGGGGGATTGATGAAACGAAAGTAGGCTGCAAAAAGGGATGTAATACATGTCGCTAAGTCTAGATCTAGCAACCCAATCATAGATTGCCTGCGGATCGGGTGCGTTGACACTTAGAGCGTTCGCGGCACGTGCGCGTGTCCGGTGATCGTATGAATTCAAGTCAAGCGTTCTCAATGCCGGTACGTTGCTAGTTGTTTGTCGCGGCTGCTTCACGGGCGCAAGACACCGCGGTGTGTTACATACAACCATAGGCGGGTTCAGTACTGGTATACGTTGCTATGAAACCAAAAGAATACAAGTAAGCCTCAGGGTATATAAACCCAGTTCCTACAAATGAACGGACAACATTTACACAAACTGCAGCAAAATGAAAACGTACCTCCATCGGAGTCACCTTAGTTGCACTCTCCCCAGGAACACCATCGCGCAAGGTCCTTTTGTTGCCCCCGCCAATACGTACTCCCAGGCTAAGTGATGAAGGCTTACGGACATCTGATACTTGGTGATCACGGGCCTACATACATAGGGGAAAATACGGCTATGGAAATTAAAACAACCAGTCCCTAACGCACCAGTGACAATCTGTGCGCCGCACATACCACGTTTGTGTATCGCACCACCCCGGCGTTAAAGCCTAATGCGCACATACCCAATATGGGTGACGCATCCCATTAAAATGAAAACGTACCTCCACCGGAGTCACCTTCGTTGCACTCCCCCAGGAACACCATCGTGCCGGGGCCTTTTGTGACCCCCCGCAATACGTACTCCCAAGCTAAGTGGTGAATTTTTACGGATAGCTGATACTTGGTGATCACGGACCTACATACGTAGAGTAAAATCAGGCTTTAGAAATTAAAACAACCAGTTC